TGTATACGGGTGTGTGCCTGAGTGTGTGTGTGTGTGTGTGTGTGTGTGTGTGCATGAGTCTACAGACATCAAAAGAGGGCATTGGATTCTCTGGAACTAAAAGTTAGAGGTAGTTGTGAGCCACCATGTAGGTACTGGGAACCGAACACAGGTCCTCTGCAAGAGCAGTAAGTGCTCTTAACCACTGAGGCATGGCTCCAACATTTCAAAACTTTCAGGTCCAGTTATTTTTTTTGTTTTGTTCTGTTTTTGTTTTTGTTTGTTTTGTTTTTGTTTTGAGACAGGGTTTCTCTGTGTAGTTTTGGTGCCTGTCCTCGATCTTGCTCTGTAAACCAGGCTGTCCTCGAACTCACAGAGATCTGCCTGGCTCTGCCTCCCGAGTGCTGGGATTAAAGGTGTGTGTTACCACTGCCTGGCTCAGGTCCAGTTTTTAAAATACTTTATTCTGACTTGCACAACTCTGTCTAGTCAATCTGACACATTCAGAGTCTTCAGGAAGGCCAAAGACCATGCCTAGAAACAACCAATTAGTGAGAGGCAGAACTGGGCTAGCTTACATGGCCTGATTTTGACTTAGTGCTTGAAGCTTCCTGGGGACACCTTAGGAAGGGAAATGGGTGGCCTTTCTCTGCCCCCAGTGTCATGGAGACCTGTTGTCCCGCTCCCATTTGGTAGAGGGTATTCACCAGTGGCTGGAAGTGTACGAGCAGTCAGCTTTCCGTTCTTTTGAGATGGCTTCAACTTCATTTTGCATCCAACATGGAATGACTCTGATGGGCCATTCTAGCTCCAGAACTTTCCATGAGGGGCTGAGTTGGCACTAGGTCTGTGTCTCCTCAGCTTCTTCCTCTGTCCTGACCCGCTTCCTGCTCCTCCTGCCCACAACTGTTGATTCTAAAGGTCCTTAACCAGAACCCTCCTTCCAGACTCTAGCCTGCCATGCACCATGCTCAGGTAGTCTTGGCTCCCATGGCAGGCTCAGGACAGGGAACATGATACAGCCTGGCAGTACCCGTCACTCATGCCCTGGAAGGAGCTGTAGACTCTCCCACCCCTGACCAGGCCCTGCATCTTCCTAGCCATAAATCTTCACACATCCTTTATCAGAGGAATGACTACCCCAGGTTGGGTAGCTGAGGTCTGGAGAAGGAGGGTGACTTATCCAAGGTCATAGACCAGAAACCGTCTCTAGCATTTTCCTGAGCATTGATTGGCTCCTTAGAAGCTGTCAGCTCACCAATCTTTCCTTGTCACCTTGTAGAACCAAGTTGATTAACCTGTCAGCACCAGAGAGAGACTCGGGGTCCTAGCCACTAGACTAGCTCCTGTCCAGGCCCCACAGCAGCCTGGCGATAGAGCAGGCGCCTCCATTGTGGGGAAAGGGACATCCTAGGTGGCACTGGTCCACCAGCCGTACCTTAAACACAAACATCTCGCCCCGGAAGAGGGCCACCGTGTTGAAATTGCCATCGCAGATGTTGGGCTTGGCACCTGGAGTGGATGGTCGGTCCCCCAGAGGTGGCCGAGGGGGCCTGGGCTGCCGCTCATGTTTCCTCTCAGACGGTGAGTGGATCCTGCGGACCGGGAGTGTAGGAAGGGGCCTTGTGGGCTCCAGGGGTTCGGCTGGGGGTCCTGGAGAGAGGGGCTGTGTCTTAGAGAGGGCCCAGCTCTTCCCTGCTGTCATCTACCCTTGCCCCATCACTACATAGGCAGTTCCAGGTCAAGTCTGTCCCTTCTGACTTCCTGTCTGCTCTCCTTGATTTAACTCCACCGTCTTTGAGAAAACAGATGGACAGAGCCACTAGATAGGGACCTTGGCTTTCCCATCCCCAGTCTGGAATCTTTCCCTTTTTAAGAAGAAGCTTGTCCTTCCTGAGGGCCAGTGGCGCACACCCTCCTTTCTGCTCTCCTTCACATAGTCTGAACTCTAAATTCGAACCACTTCCATTCTTCAGCCAACTTCAACAGAGCGTCAGCTCCGTTTTCCACCCAAATCACTTGCCAAGATCACCAATGACCTCTGTATTTCGGAATCCAACAGTTATCAACTCGAGCTTTGTTGACTGAGTGAATCATCTTGGTAATGCAGGTTGTGACTCAGAGGACCTGGACTGGATCCCGAGACAGTATGTCTTCAGGGTCTCAGGTGAAGCCCATGTCCCTGGTCTGAGGGCCACACATTGGAGAGTAAGATTCTGGAAACAATTTGCTTTGAACCATGTTCCTCCTTTTCCAGGGCCCTGCACTCTTGGTTCGTCTGCCCCTTGGGCCTGCATTGTTAGAAGTGCCCACCCTGCTCCAGAGACTGGGTACCCTTACAGGTCGCTTTTCTTCCTTTGTAATGCCTCTCAACTTGGGCAGCTCATAGGGGAGTTCTACAACTCCAGATCTTCAGGGAGCTCCCAGATGGACTCACTCAGATCTCTGGAGTGAGGGCTGGATGTCAGTGTTTTTTGTTTTTTTTGTAAGAATCCCAAGATGAGTCCCAAGAGCAACCCAGTTGAGCGTCACTGCTGTAAGGGCTCATCTGGGTTGCTGACTTTAAAGACCCTCAGAGTGTCCTCGGACATACTGTGTGGTGACAGAATCGTTCCATGTCTGCGCTGTCAACATAGTCGCTGCTGGCCACATGCACACATGGCTACTGAGGACTTGAAGTAAGGGACTAGTTCTTAATGGCTGAGGAACTGAAGCTTCAGTTTAACTATTATACATTTCAATTCCAATAGCCATTTGTAACTAGTAACTATGTAGTGTACACTGAAGACACCACGTGACTATCCCAGCTTTGGTCTATGGGCTGCAGACTGAGAAATCCTATTATTCTACAATTACAAAGACCAGAGCATGCCCTCGCCCCCGCCATTTTTTAAAGACAGGGTCTCATGTACCACTGGCTGGCCTCAAACACCTAATGTATATAGCAAAGGGGATGAATTTGAACTCCTGATCCTCTTGATTCTACCTCTAGAAGGCTGGAATTACAGGTGTATGCTACCATGCCTGGTTCATGTGGTTCTGGGGATCAAAGTAGGGTTTCATGTGTACCAGGTGAACACTCAGCTGCTGAGCTCCACCCCTGCAAAGTCAGAACTCTTGGCATTAGCTTGACCTGTTCCTTCTGTCCCTCATCCCCACATCTGATCGGTCAGCAGATCTCGTCCGTGCCACCTTTGAAATAACTTCTAATATTGGCTACCCACCCTACCCCTGCTGCTTCACCGGCTGGGATGCAGGGCCCTGGCTGCTGCACCTTCCCCAGAAGGTGCCTCCACTCCTGTGCTATGTTGACCAGCATTTGCTCAAGAACTGGTCTCCCATTTCAATGAACCCGAGTAGACCCTCCATGCCAGCATGACTTGTACATGGTAGCATGGTAGGCTTTCCTATCTTATTAAGACAGCAAGCTAGCTTCACATTTTCCCTAAGATCACAGATTCTGTGATCTTATTCTGATTCTAGATCTGATTCTAATACTTATCACCATTACTCAGGCAGATGTGTGACTTTCCTAGGTTAGAGGCACCCCGCAGGGTGCCTGGTCCCCATCTGGGAAAGGGAGGTCACGAGAACAGGAGGTAACAAGGAGGTGGGTGGAAAAGGGTAGAAAAGAGGGAATGAGTGGGCCTCACCTCACTTTGCCCTTCCCAGTCACAGCTCGAACCCCCTCCTTCCCCAAGGTTTCCCAGTGTGCTGGGGGACCTTATAAAAGTCAACACGGAGACACAGCAGCAACGCTGGCAATGGGCAAAGGGCCCAACCCCACACCTGCCACAGCCCATGCTCACATTAACTACAGTGGCCCACACACCTGCCACAGCCCATGCTCACATTAACTACAGTGGCCCACACACCTGCCACAGCCCATGCTCACATTAACAACAGTGGCCCACACACCTGCCACAGCCCATGTTCACATTAACAACAGTAGCCCCCACATCTGACATCGTCCATGCTCACATTAACAACAGTGGCCCCCACATCTGACATCGTCCATGCTCACATTAACAACAGTGGCCCCCACACCTAACATAGCACATGCTCACATTAACAACAGTGCCCCCCCCCACCACTACACACACCGTAAATCTTCTGGATACCCTGGAGGTCATCCTGGGGAAGTTTGAAGTTGTGCGTCTCCATGTATTGGTAGAAGGGTGCCATGATGGCACTGGGGTCATTAGAGTGCTCCAGTCCCAGTGCATGGCCCAGTTCATGCACAGCCACCAGGAAGAGGTCGTTGCCTGTAGAGAGGGACATAGGAGATACCCAGGGCACCCACCACTTAGTATTTAGTCAGTCCATTACTTAGCATATCAAACACTTAGCATATCCCCTGCTCCTGCCCCTCTGTTGGACACTGGTGACATAGAGAAATCAAACATAGTCTTTGCCTAGGTACCTCTTAGTACAGAGGGGTATATGGAAAAAAATGCAAAAGCTACACAGTATCCAGGCACTGGGGTGCTTTAACAACAGATGTGTGTAAAGATTGAGAGCTTTCTTTTTTAAAGGTACCTTTGGGTCTTGCATATACCACTGAGCAATATTTTTTTTAAAAGGTTTATTTATTATGTATAGTGTTCTGCCTGCATGTATCCCTGCAGGCCATAAGAGGGCACCAGATCTCATTACAGATGGTTGTGAGCCACCATGTGGTTGCTGGGAATTGAACTCAGGATCTCTGGAAGAGCAGCTGATGCTCTTAACCTTTGAGCCATCTCTCCAGCCCCCTCTTTTAATTTTTATTAATAGGGGCCTTGAACTTGCAACTCTCCTGCCTCAGCCTCCAAGTACCTGGGACTACATGTCTGTGCTACTAAGTCCCACTGGATTGGAGGAAGATGCTCAGGGAGGACCCCCCATGGGGGAAGCGTAAGTCTTTAGTCTGAAGAATGGATTCAGGGTTAGAGAGGAAGAGGGTGGAGTAGCATTCCTGGCAGAGATACTGCTGTAAACCAGGTCCAGGGACAAGCAGTTCATTCCACTTGGCTCTAGAACAAAGCACAAAGGGAGGGCCAGGGAGAGATGAGGTCAGCCAGGCTGGCAAGCCGGGCTCTGTGATGCCCTACAAAGGAATTTGGATCAGTTTCTTGGTCATGGGTGGGGGAGCAGGGATAGCAGGAGAGGAGGTGGGGCATGATGAAGTCACCCTGGTTACCATTGGAGAAAGGATTAGAGGCAAAGGAGACCTGAGGCAGGTAGATCAGTGGGATCAGTTCAGAAGGTGGGGTGCAGGTACTGGGGTGCCGGTGGGCAGAATCAAGGAAGCTATGGCAAGACGAGAAGTAAGTCCTTGGGGTGGCTGTTGGGTAGTCATCTTCAGGAGGTCTGGTGTGTACAGGGCTCTGTGTGGGGCAGCAGGACCCTAGTTCTGGAACTACTGGCTAAAATCAAGGTTGAGGGGTCAAGAACAGGTGGGAACCTGGTGCTGAGATTGGGACCCAGGATCCTGAACACGGAACTGAGGGGCAGGGAGGTGTGGTGGTTTTGAGCACCCTGAGATGGGACAGGTCACCTTCACTTCCAGTGCCACACCCGCAAGCTTTGTGAACTCGGGCCAACACCTCAACCTCAGTGTCCTGGTTTGTGGAAAGGAAACACCAGACCTAACTCATTGGCTGGATGAGGACTGAATAGCAAACAGGTGTGAAATGTACGGCATAGCAGGAACAGTTGCTTGGTTGCTACGGCCCAAAAGACATGAGCTAGACCACACAGAGCAAGGCCCTAGCCAGAAAGGTTGGTGGGGTTTCAGCAACCAGATTCTCTTAAAGCTAGCTCCCTTCAACTTCCATTTTAAGCCTTGGGTAGGTCAAGGCCTGACTTTGTAGATATTAAGTAACCGTAGTATTGGGAAAGAAATTGGCCAAGGAGTTGGGCAGGGCATTGGATCTGGTGCTTCTCTGTGCAGTTAGGGACTCCTTCTTATATCTCTGGCATTTGTTCTCCCCTGAGATCTGCCTCTTATCTCCCAGTCTTAGGCATTTCTGCCATCTCAAAGTCTAGGGAGGCCACCAGAATTCAGAACCTTACTGCCCATTCTGGGTCGAGTATTCCTGGTAGAGCTGCCCTACCTAAGCCCATCAAGGCCCCCAGGAGAGTCAGATGAGGATGAGAGTTATCTGGCCTTTTGAGTAAGGTCTTGGGAAAAGAGAAGAATTCTACAGGCCAGACTCAGACTGACTCTCCACTGACACCAGCAGCGTCATCCATGAAGCCACCTTTGAGCGATGGAGAGGAATGGGGGATGGGCAAGATCACTGCAAGGTTGGCCAAAAGCCTGGGTTGGCCTTCTGCTGAGAAAGGCAGGCTGACAGGAGAAAGCCAGGTTGCCCCCAGCTCCTTCCTCAGGTCCTGGTCCCTCCAGCAGCAGGGAAGCGGTGAGCTCATCGTTTAGCATCACTCCAAACAAAGGTGGTGGTTGGGGCTGGCAGAAGGCAGCTCAGCTTCCTGCGGCCTGGCCTGGCTCTGCTCCTGGCCTGCTGCTCCACCTGGACAAGCTGTTCAGGGTCTCTCTCCTGACCAGGCCTCTCCTTGGGACCATCCACAGGGACCTCAGCAGGGAGCCAGGGAGCCCCTGGGTATTCTCAGCCATTGTCCTTGGCTTGTGCCCATTGTGTGAGTAGTGAAATCCCTTAAAGGAAAGAGGCCTGTGGGTTTCTTCCCAGGACCAAAAGGAAGAGAAGAGCTGAGAAGCCAGCATCCTACTACACAGAATCAGGAGAGCTTTGGGGACCAGAGGGAAGGAGAGGGGAGGGCAGCCAGACTGAGCTTGTGAGGGAACACAGAGGGATGGGGAAGGAAGTGGTCAGCTATGGAGAAGAGCCTGGTGCCTCATGGAGAGAAGGCTTTTGGGGTCTTCACTCCCCAAAGGGTGGGAGGCAGAAAGCAGATTGGCTTCTGCAGCTCTGCCATGTCCTAGCAGTGTGGCATTTTAAGAGCTCTTCTCTGCAGCCAAGAAAATAATGGCTGCCTTCCTCATAAAAACAGGGACAAGGATTAATGAGTCAAGGTAAACAAAGTGCCATACCAGGTCCTGGCCCAGGCGGATCATTACTCATTACCACTGTTGTGTTGAGCTGTGTGAGAGGACCAGCGTCCCCAATTGTGGAAGTCTCTGGGCCCTGTAGCATGACAGACTGCTTGGCTTCTCCAGTGGACCTTGCCTCTTAGGATGGACTTCTTCGTTGGGGACCCCCATCTTCCTGACTCCAGCAGCACCCCCACAAGGCATCTCTCTTCCCCTCTGCCTTCTCATCAGCGGTGTCCCCTGCACCTAGAAGACCCTCCTTCCTCTGAAGTTCACCCCGGTGCTCATCTCCCAGGAAACCAGCCTGGCTCTCCCAGCTGGCCGAGAATGCTGCCTTCTCCACTCTGCCAGCATTTTAATCTCAGGCAGCTTTAGGTGCTGGCCACTTTCCAATTTTCATTAATTACAGCCATGGGTACGTATTCCGCCCCAAGACTGAGTTTCTTGGGGGCAGTAGCCCCAGAAAGTGGCTCAAAGTTGCCCGAGTCTGACATGGCAAGGTGACAGCATCCGGGAGGGAAAGCACCAAAACTACTGTTTTCCAAGTACTGTCCCTGGACCACCTGCTGCAGACCCCGTGGGGACTGTTAAAGATGTGGCATCTCGCTTTCACATCTGGCTCTGCCGCCTTCCAACTGTGTGACTTTCTCAATACCCCCAGCAGAGGGTCATGTTGTCATTTGTAAACCGGAAGATTATAATCCCTCCCTTCCCCACCTCCCCCGTGGGGGATGAGTTAGTGAGCTAAGTGTGGAAAGGCTCTGTCCCGTGAAGCAAGGTATGGTCATGAAGGCTCTTTCTCTAGGAAGGAATACTGAGAGCTGGGTCCCCCCTGGCAGAACTGAGTGGGTATCTGCTGACTTCACTGGTTGACTCATTTGAAAAAAATGGGGACAGAGAAAGTTCAATGAAAATGGCTTTAAGGTGTGGTGGGCTAGACTGCCCCTTTGTACACTTCAGTGGAGTAGGGAATGAGAACCACATGCACAATTCAGTGGCAATCTGGAGAGGGGTGTGTGTGTGTGTGTGTGTGTGTGTGTGTGTGTGTGTGTGTGTGTGTGTGGTGTGTGTTGTATGCATGTGTGCAGGCATGCTTACCTATGGGGGCATGCCTGTAGAAGAATTCTATTGCTCTCTACACTTTCATGTATTTACTTGAAACAGTGTCTCTCAGTAAACCCAGTGTTTGCTGTTTTGGTTAGACCAGCTAGCCAGGGAGCCCATAGTATCTGCATAATTCTGTCCCCGGTTTGGGGTTACAGACACACATTGCTACAGCTGGCTTTTATGTGGGTGTTAGGCCTCAAAACTGAGGTCCTCATGCTCGCACAGGAGCGCTTCTCCCACTGAGCCACCCCGGACAGGGTCTCTGGATCTCCAGCTGGTCTGGAACTTACTGCGTAGCCCAGGCTGGCTTCAGAACTACAACAGTCTTCCTGCCGCCTCATTCTCGTGAGTGCTGGAATTACAGGTGTGAGTCTCGGAAATCTTTTAAACCCGGGGGCAGTGAGGACTGTGATTCAGGAGGTTTGCGTCCAGATGTAGACTACACTGTTTCCTTCCTTCCTTCCCTCCTTCCTTCCTTCCTTCCTTCCTTCCTTCCTTCCTTCCTTCCTTCCTTCCTTCTTCCTTCCTTCCTTCCTTCCTTCCTTCCTTCCTTCCTTCCTTTCTTCCTTTCTATTTTTAAACAGGACAGCTTGAATCATACGTGTTTCTGATGTAGTGAACAGAACATATCAATACTACCAAGGAAAGATCCTGTCCAAAAGTGAACCTACGCCTCATCAGGCTTGCTTTGTTCTGCAATACTCAGGAATCATGAGGAGAGAGACAGGTGAAAGGTGAACTTGAGTCTTATCAAGTCAAATGACTACACTTAAGACGATGTCTTCCATGCAAGACAGGGAAATGTGGGGGTGGGCTATATTTTAAATTACAAGACTTTAAAAGAGCCATGTGTGATGTGGATCTTGTTTGGATCCTGATGCAAGCCAACAACTGTAAAAGACACTTTGAGGTAATTGGGGACACTGCCACTGGGTATTAGATTGTGAGTGTGTGTGTGTGTGTTTGTGTGTGTGCCTACAAGAGTGTGTGGGTATGTGGAGGCCAGAAGCCAACCTTGGGCATTGTTGCATCTTGTGTTTTGAGACAGGGTCTCTCCTTGGACCTGGAGCTTCCTGACTAGGCTAGGCTGCTTTGCCAGCAAGTCCCAGGCATCCCCCTGTCTCTGCCTCTCCAGTGCTGGGATTACAAGCGATTGACACCCTACCTGGCTTTTTTGTATGAGTTCTGGGAATCAAACTCAGGCCTTCAAGCTTACATGACAAGCACTTTACCAATGCTCTGGCATTAGATTTTAAGAAGTTGTTAACTTTGTTGAGTTTGATACTGATTTTGTGGTTATATTAAAATTCCATCTTTGTTAGAGTAGCAAACTAAAGTAGCCATATATAAAATGATATTATACCTGGGTCTTTCTTTCTTTAAAATACATCAGCCATGGGGCTGGAAAGATAGCTGGGTGGTTAAGAGCACTTGTTGCTCTTGTAAAGGACCAGGGTTCATTTGCAAGCACCCACATGGCAGCCCACAACCATCTGTAACTCCAGTTCCAGAAGATCTGACAACCTCTTCTGGTCCCCAGGGCACTGCTTGTGGTGCACTTGGATGTAGACAAAACACATACACATAAAATAAAGACAAAACAAAAAACCTCAGTCCCCAAATAAACGTGGAAGGGGTAGGCACAGTACGGACATTAGTGTTGATCACTGAAGCCCTCCTCAGTCTCCCTCCTTCAGAGAGTTTGAAATAATTCCATAAAGAAAGTCAACGATCAGACCGAAGTTCCCAGGAGAGTCTCCTCCCTCCTTCACTGAGTCTGTGTGGGAATCAAATGTCACATTATCCAGGTGCTCACTAAATTGCAGATCCTTTCCCCTCACTGAAGCCTGTCTTGGGGCAGTGCTCACAGCTGACCCCCCCATCAGCCAGAGATCTATGGCTGGGCTTCTAAGTGGTACCTGGTTCATCTCTGTTTTTACAGAGCAATGTCCTGACTCCTGTAAAGAGAAGACATTAACTCTCTTGGAATTTCTGTCAGAGCTGGAGGTTGTTCATTAAAGATAGGATGATCAGGCAGGAGAATATAACAATGGTGTCCATTCACAGACTCTAGGTCCTTCCCACATGCCACACACACCAGTTCTTGGGACTGGAGGCTGAGCCTAGCAAGCTCCTCAAAAGCAAGGAGTGGGCATGACTGTGGAGACCCTGGAGTTTGGCAGAAAGCGAGGCAGAGGCGTTTCTTCCTAGCACCTCCATAGGAAAATAACCCTTTGAAAATTCAGTTGAGTTTACCAGAACTAAAACTAAAACCCTTGAGCTGGTGATGCCTGGCACACAGCAGGGCCTGAAAATGATAGATTTTTTTCCCCTGACGCCTTATCAGTCGTGTCAGTCAGTCGTTTGTTGACACCACTCCAAAAATAAGAATAAGATAAAGCATGGGTATACAGAGGGCCAGGGAAGTTATCTAGGACATAGGAGAGATGACGCCTAGCCAGAGGAAATGGAGCTTCACAGGAAACAGCAGAAATCGGAAGAGGGAAGAGAACAAAGAAGCTGAACAGTCTCATAACACCCTGGGCAGCACCTTGGCCAAACCAGCTCCTGGACCAGTGCTGGACAGATGCTGGGAGAGGTGAACCCCGATTCACACAGTGGTCTGGAGTGTCCTCAGGGGAGCAGCCCACCTACGGACACCAGACATGGCTTCTGAGGGAGGAGCCGCAAACAGCCTGCCACACCCATAAACTGCACCAAGGCAAGAACAGGTGTCCTCTGTTTCCCAATCTTGATCCAGATTAAGGATCAGGATCTCCAGGGACAGCAATCCATGTTTCTGAAAAGACCCTTGGTAGTTCTCATGATCAGGCTGAGTAGAGAAACTTCAAGGACAGAGATGTTCCTCAAGACTGGGCTCTGCATTCTTAAGTTTCTAGGTGATTCTCATCGTTTGAGATCCACAGAAGCTCAGCATGGTGGCTGAGGGTGTGGAATCCAGGGTTATAATATCCACATTCAAAGCCTTGTATAACTGCTCCCTAACTCTGGGGCCTTGAATAGAATAATGTTTCTCTATGCTTTTGTTTGACTCGCTGTGAAATGGGGATGATAATACCTACTTACGTGCTGTGTGGGAGGCACTTGATAAGGACCTCGGGACCTTAACGTCCATTCGTTACTATCTGCCATAATCTGAAGGCTGAATCTCCTGCCTCTCCGTCCCTTTGACTCCTGTTGCATTTTCATGGCACCTGAGCTGCAGCCTCCAGCAGGGTCTGCCTTACGGCAGGGCTCCTTATTTAGAGCCCTGACTCTGGGTTTCGGCAGGCAGACTCTGCCTGTGCCCTTAATTAAATAGTCACATACCCCTTGGTGATTGCAGGACTCTGTACCGTGTCACACCTACATTGGAAGAGACCTTAGAGATTACTTACTCGGTCGCCCTTGTGTGCACTTCCTGTAGGCTAGGAGTACAGGCATGTACCACCACTCCTTGCTTATGCTGGGGATTGAACCCAGGGCTTTATGAATGCTAGGCAGAGACTCTACCAATTGAGCTACATCCTTAGCCCTTTCATAGCTCCTGTTGAACTAGGGTTTGAGCTCCAGCACTGCCACCTACCATTGAGCCCTGAGCTCTTCATCTTAAAAATGGACCTAACAGTTGGCACGATGGCTCAGTGGATAAAGACAGTTGCTACCAAGCCCAATGACCCACGTTCGAGCCCTTGGACCTACCTGGTGGAAGGGGTGAAAGGACTCCCATAAGTTGTCCTCCGAACTCTCCATATACACACTCACCCCACAAATAATAACTAAAGAATGTGATAAATAGATTATTGGGCCAGTGAGAAGGCTCAAGGCAGAGAAGTACCTGCCACCAGACATGACCCCCGGAGTCTGATTCCCAAGACCTACACAATGGAAGGAGAAAACTGACCTCCCCAAGTTGTCTTCTGACCTCTACATGAGAGCTGTGGCATGTGCACACCAACACAACATACACTCATACAAATCAATGAATGTAATACAAAAAATTTAAATGGGCACAACACTGTGTCCATTGCCATTTGCTAAGCAAGTGTCTTCGTTCATATGGATGAACTCTGTAATGACGAGTGGCCATCACTGCCCGATACTGACCGCTGCTCTGCGAATATCCGCAGAATCGGTGGTGCAGGGCAAGTTATCTGAGGATGCTAGAAAGGCTAGGCCACGGCTTAGAGTGACTTTGGGACCAGAACCCAACAGAGCTCAAGTTCTATTTTAAAGCCTTCTAACCTGTTTCTTCAGCCTCTGGCACATCATTTTCTTATTCATGGTGCAATCCTGCCTCAGCCCAATTACACCAACTTCTAGGTGGTCTCACCCATCTTTATGGCCCTGGTCCTGGTGGATCAAGTGTTGAATATTAACAGAGACCACAGTTCTCACTCTTTTGAGTCCTTAGTTCTTAGACAAGAAGCTCTGGAAAGTAGGTCTCTCATCAATGGTGTCTCCAAATGCATCCTTGGCACATCTTTCCCTGATAATTGAACAGCCCAGCACTGACTCCCCCACGCCATCCTCTCTTGTCCTTACCATCATGGTTGGCATTTCCTAGTGTCCAGGGCTCATCTGAATCAAAGTGAGTGTCTCCTCCAATCCCTGGGCCAGGAAAGTAGGCATGGGCGAGGAAGCCCCCTTCCCCATCAAATGGGGAGCTGTCACCATGGAAGCCAGAGGCAAAGAAGATCATGATGTCTGCCTCCTTCCGATCACTTTTGATCTCATGGTATGGCACCTCTTCAAAAGTCAGAGGGGTCACCTTCTGCCACACATCGAAAGCCTGACGAATAGCTTTCCGCGTGTCCAGCTCACCCACCTTTGGGGTATAGTTGTGAATGCTGGTGAGAGAGAGAAGGATCATTGGAAAAGAGTACAAAATCAGAGACCAGTGGGGCTGAAAGGGATGTCAGAGCCAGTATGGTCCAGTGGCCTTCACATTTTGAGTCCTAGAATTCTATTGAGAGGCCTGGGGTGGGGGGCGCTGAAGAATAGGCTGACTAGGAAGCTCATCACCCCCTCCCCCCATCACAATAGCTTGTTTTCATCAGAGTTTTATTCCTGACAAGGCTTGTGTTGCATAAGGGATTCCATCCAATGTGTAATAGAAAACTGATAGGTAGACTCCTTTAAATTTAGCTCTTTCTCTCCCAACACAGAAAATACATACATTTGTAAAAGTCACAGATATACTCCAATAGTACAGAGGCATCACAGTGGAAAAGAACTAGTCATTGCTGGGTTATCAGCAGCTGGTGTAGGGCAGCACATGACTTCATCCAACGCCTGACTTAGTTCTTTACGGTAACTGTATCTGGTGCACGGTTTTCCACAATGGAACACTACTACTTATGCGTGCTCTGTCCCAAGAAGGCCTGGGGCATGGATCATCTTACCCATTCCACGGGAAGGGAGCAGAGGTCTAGGAGGGTGGGTAATGGGAGGTAAGGTCAGAGTTGGGTTAGAAACTTTTCCCCTTCCTCTTGATCCATTCCTCGTCTTTGGAAGACCCGAGTCTTCTAACCTAGATTCCTCTTAAGTTTCCTTCTCTTTTTGAAAAAAAAAAAAAAAATCCTGTTCTGATACCTACATCTTGTCAGTAAGGAACGCCCTTACTTTAACCCTGTAATCTCTGCCTCAGTTTCTTTTACTGTACCCCAGGAACCGATCTGAGACAGAGTCAGAGTTCTGAGAGGTGCCAAGCAGAGCCCTTTCCTAGCCTGGTCCTTGCCCAAGTCTCTGTGAACCCTGGTGTCTGGCCCTGCTGTGCTGGGTTCATTATCCTTGTCTCAGCCACTGTGGGGCTTTGAGACGGCTTTGGTCTGCCCTGACTTTCCCAGGCACGGAATGACTGTTGTGACCCATGTCTTCATTCCTTACTCTCCTTAAGAAACAGCAGGCCGGGCGGTGGTGGCGCACGCCTTTAATCCCAGCACTCGGGAGGCAGAGCCAGGCGGATCTCTGTGAGTTCGAGGCCAGCCTGGGCTACCAAGTGAGTTCCAGGAAAGGCGCAAAGCTACACAGAGAAACCCTGTCTCGAAAAACCAAAAAAAAAAAAAAAGAAACAGCAGAGGCCGGGCGGTGGTGGCGCACGCCTTTAATCCCAGCACTCGGAAGGCAGAGCCAGGCGGATCTCTGTGAGCTCGAGGCCAGCCTGGTCTACAGAGCGAGTTCCAGGAAAGGCGCAAAACTACATAGAGAAACTCTGTCTCGAAAACAAAAACAAACAAACAAAAAAAAGACAAGAAACAGCAGAGACTCCGCATTGGGCATCTTGGGTGAAGTCTGTCAGGATGAAATTGGGAATCCTGCAGAGGCAGGGAAGTTTTAAGTATGAACAGTGAGCTCTGCCTTGGG